TTGAGTGATTCTCTCTGAGCTCAAAAAGGTACTAAATCGAACACACGTCTAACTTCACTTGGCAGTCAGTCAGTCAGTCTCTCTCTCTCTGTCTGTCTGCCTCTCTCTCTGTCTGTCTGTCTGCCTCTGCCTCTCTCTCTCTCTCTCTCTCTCTCTCTCTCTCTCTCTCTCTCTCTCTCTCTCTCTCTCTCTCTCTCTCTCTCTCTCTCTCTCTCCTTTTGACGTACCTTGCTTTTTTCGATAATAGAGCGGGAGCAGAACTAGCGGCATCAGTATGTACAGTTGTGTGTCGACGCCTGTGTACCAACATTGCGGTAGGCACTGGGAATTAACGTACTCAGTAAATATATAAGAACATGTGTAAGGCGAAAATAATCAGGCAAAACCAGTCAGTCGAAACTCCACATGCAACAAACATTGAGTCTAATATGCATATACGCGAGAGAAAACATAAGTAATGATATGCCAGAGCGTACGTCTATAAAATCTTATTCCAAGTATTTCAATGTTTGAACCCAATCATCATAAACAGAGATATGAGACGGTGAGAATGGGAGAGGCGAACTCGCCGTCGTAACAAAAATGCAATTCTTGCACCTCCGTTTTCTATGAAATTTAAACTATATTATGGGAAGGAATGGTACAGTTAGTTCGCCTATCAATGGCCGATAATTAATGTTATATGGTTTAAAACTCGTGGTCTGAGCGAAACGCAAATTTTAAACCCATTCACCTCAAAACATGATTTTGGCAAGTTAGCCCTTTCTTTCTAGACGCCTCATATATCATATGATGTGGATGAAGGAAACACCCATTGTCCAACACAAGAAATATAACAAACCAATCACTATTCACACACACAAAAATATACGAGCAATCAGAGCAAATTATATAAGCACGTTATCGAATCAACTTTTTGTGTCCGAAATCGTGCACGGAAAGTTTCATGCAGGACCCACGGTTGCTCCCTCGTTCGTCTTCCCCATGTCAGCGAGGTGCGGGAACAACAGGTTACTGATGAAGGTGACGTCCATCCACCAGGAGTGACGACAGCCTTTGAGGTAGAAACTACGGTACAGCTCAGCGAGAGGACCTGTCACTAGGAGGCCGGACACCGTGGCCAGGAACGCGTCGGCCATGGCGATGGGGGGCAGGAGCCTGGGGTGGGAGGGAGGACGGGCGGTTTGCTGTGGGTGTCTTGGTTGCTCTTTCGCTCTCTTTTCTCTTTCGCTCTCTTTTCTCTGTCTCTTGCTCTTACTCTCCTTTCCCAGTTGTTTCGCTCTTGCTCTCTCTCTCTCTCTCTCTCTCTCTCTCTCTCTCTCTCTCTCTCTCTCTCTCTCTCTCTCTCTCTCACTTTCTCCCCCTTTCTCACTCTCTCCCCCCCCCCTCTCTGTTTCCCCTACCTATCTCCCCCCCTCTCTCACTCTCTCTCCTCCCTTTCTCACTCTCTCCCCCCCTCTCTCTCTCCGCTCTCTCACTCCCCCCCCCCCCTCTCTCTCATTCCATACCATTAAAAAAAAAACTATTATAAACATATTCATACCAACCTCTCTTACGGTTCCATACCAACTCCATCTCTTCCTTTCTGTCTTTCCTCTCCATGCTCTCACCTGGTAATTCTGTGCAGGTAGTAAAGAGCCGCGTTGAATTTCCCCGCCTGGGACATCTGCTTCAACACACTGAGGCATACTAGTGTCCCGCTCATAAGGAAAAAGGTGTCGACACTCAGGTCTCCGTTAGCGATGATCTGGAAAGCAGCGGGTTTCGCCAGCTGTTTTTGGGGGAAAAGGGAAAAAATGCAGTAAGGTTTCAATAGCTGTTTGGGAGAAAAGGGGGAAGATGAGGTGAATTTTGATAGTTTTTTTTTTTTTTTTTGGGGGGGGATGGAGGGAAATGCGGTGAGATTTCAATAGCTGTTTGGGAGAAAAGGGGGAAGATGAGGTGAATTTTGATAATTTTCGGGGGGAAAAGGGAAGGAAATGCAGTGAGATTTTGGCAGATGTTTGTGGCCAAAGGAGGAATAGAACAGGGAGATTTAAACAACTGCTTGGGAGAAAATATGAACCTGCAATAAGAGATGATTCGATGAGTAAGAAAGCTGGCTTAGTGTTTTCATAAAGGGGAGAATTGAGGTGAATTTTTTTACAAGTTCTCGGGGGGGTGGGGGCGGGGTAAATGCGGTGAGATTTTGATACTCGATCGGGGAGAACTGGGAAACACAATGGTAATCTGATAGCTGTTTTCAAGGGAAATAGGGGATAATGTAGTGAAAATACGACGAAAGATGTGATGACTAAGAATTTTTTTTTCGTATTTGTTCTGAATATTGGAACTTACAACGTGCGAAGGAGAGTGAATTGAATATTAAATATGTCTAGATCCCCCCCCCCCCTAAAAATACTGTAAAACGTTACTTCATAATCGCCATGAGTTCGATTTGCATTACGACCACCCAAGAGAGATCTTACCTCAGGTAATTCGAGGGGATTAGACGCCAGATAAACAGAATAAGCATACTGATGACCCAACACGACCCAGCATATGGACAGAAACCTAGTAAAATAAATATCACAATAGATGAAAAGGCTTATCACACAAAGCAAATTCTTCACTATAATCTCGAAAATAATATATACCAGTAGTCCCACTGAAGTACCTAAACCTCTAACCTGATCCCATGTAGGCAAGAGATGACGCCAGGGTTCTTCGACGTGTCCAGGTGGAAGAGCTTCTGCAGGTTGTGGCTGACGGAGAACACCAGCAGGTACTTGGCAGGACCTGGAGACAGAAAAGGTTTCAACATCGCTAATCGGGTTGACGTCATCACGGCGAACATGACGTAAACATGAAGCGAATATAAACACATGAAGCGATCGTGACGACATGGAACGCATGTAACGAAGTAATACAAACTTGAGAAAAGGCAAGAAACGCAAGAGGGAATCAGTAGACAGCCCAAACACTGACCTTTCCGAAGTGTCTGCTGTTGAAAGCATTCGCTCCACACATCCAGGAACGTTGCTATGACCAACACGGCCGCCAAGACTGAGAAAAATACTCTGTAAAAAAAGGAAAAACTAGTAATGAACTCCATGAACCCAGCCATGACCATGACGTTCGTGGACATCAAAACACGTGCTCATTTTCGACGACTCTGAGAACGTCAAATGATGCTGGGAAAAGGAAGAGAAGTAATACATGCTGAAGAAACTAGCAGCTTTGATTATCGAGAAGGGTGCACAATAAGCGAAAGCATTCTCCACAGCTTATCTCAAAAGAAAAAGAAAAAGAAGTGGGTGCGTGTCTATGTATATATACGTATGTATGTATGTATGTATGTATGTGTATATGTATATATATACCCATGTATATATATATATATATATATATATATATATATATATATATATATATATATATATATATATATATATATACGTACATGCACACACACGAACATACACACACACTCATACATATATGTATATATATATTTTTTATTTATTTATTTAAATGTATATATGCAAATACACATACAAACACACACACACACACACACACACACACACACACACATATATACATGTATATATATATATATATATATATATATATATATATATATATATATATATATATGTGTGTGTGTGTGTGTGTGTGTGTGTGTGTGTGTGTGTGTGTGTGTGTGTGTGTGTGTGTGTGTGTGTGTGTGATGGCTAGACAGCCAGACAGTGAGAATGAAATAGTACTTACATGCCAAATATTTCGTCCGCCGAGAAGGCACGCTGAGGGTGTTCCACCTGACACTGTACCAAAGTCAGCTCGTACCCCGCAGGTGCCAAGGCTTCATTCACAGTGTCCTTAGCGTGTAAGAGACGAAAATTGCTTTCCAAGTGAAGATTTGTGTATTATGAGACGCAACCAAGACGGCTATGTGATATTCATACCGCTGAGAATTACTGTGTTTACCTATCTCTCTCTCTCTCTCTCTCTCTCTCTAACACACAAACTTATTCTCAGTTTGCGTAAAGATATATTGTGTAATATATACTCATACAGAAATACAACTATTTATTCAATCCTGCAGAAATCACACACACACACACTCACACACACACACACACACACACACACACACACAAACACACACACACACACACACACACACACACAAAAAAACACAAAAAAAAAAAAAAAAAAAAAACACACACACACACACATATTGTTGAAATGTTCTTTTGAAACATCGAGACTTATTAAAAATTCTTGACATAAAACTAACCCTGAGTTCGTCTCGTGTGCAGGTGGAGGGCATGCAGGTGGCGTAGGTGGTGGGGAGGGACGGATGCATCATCGTGGACAGCATCGGCGTGCGGAGGTCCTGCCGCTCGTCCGTTACGTTGCTGGTGTTCTTGGAAGCTCTGCGGGGGTGGGGGTGGGGGGTGGGGGTTAGTAAACATCTCTCTGTTATTTTGGTTTTGTGTTTGGGATCTTTGATTTGGTCCTACTCTCTTTCTCTACTGTTCCTTTTTTTTACTCTCTCTCTCTCTCTCTCTCTCTCTATTCTCTACTGCTATACTATTCTTCTTCAGCTATGTGAAGTTGAAGGAAAGAAAAATATTGGATTTTATATGTAAGAAATAAAGGTTACATTAGAAATAGAGTTCAGATATCATTCTTTTGATCCTGAATGACATTGATTCATTGTTCCTTTTATTACAAATTCAAATTAAAGAATTATCTTATTGGTAGGTAATATAAAATTATGTACTGTTGATGGCATTTTGTTCTTTAATGAAATTTAAATGCAAGGGTTTGCAGAGGACAGTGAAAATCGCACATTAACAGCTGCGTCTGTCAGTTGGTTCCTGCCTTTGGTTTTAACACAAAAAGCTGAGAATCCATTTATGGCCAAAGGGATGAGCACATTCTGAACTCCGCGAGAGAGTGGGATATCCCTCTTCCGCTTTGGCCCATGAAGTATTCAGTGCTTCATTTTG